TGAGCTAACCGGGCGCCCACATTATTTATTATTATTCATTTTAAAGCACCTAATTCAAGTGGCTCAAATCATGACGTCATTTAAACTAAATACATACAAGCCATAGATTGTACAGAATCACAGAGAAATAACACATTTATTTATTAATGAAAGTTAAGAAGGGGACGTACAACTCAGGGTCAAGTGTGTCGTTCTTCTTTCGTTGAAACTGCTCTTTGTTGATGGACCTGTGGGAAATATAAGACGACAAATTACTGTAACAGACAAAACAAGGTAGTCCTTTAAAGAGTGCACGCTGTGAGCAGAATCTTCATCAATTCAGAAACTGCTTAGAGAAATTCAAAATGTGCCCACTTGCTAAATATGCTATCAGTAGGTATTGTTGTACTGGTTATTCATCTCATCTCGGAGATTAGAGATATAAACTCTTGGCACAGGTAAGAGCAGAGGCTGATGATATGAATACTGAAAGAATTAAACTATATGACAAAGATGAAATCACCCAATAAAAAAAAATTATTTAAAAAATGAAAGCTAGTTATTTAAAACCCATGCTTGCACTTAAAAAAAATGGACAGTTTGTAACAGCTGGTACATTCAATCTATGATGCTGCTAAAATCAGAATTCAAGTATTACTTGAGAAACTCTCAGATTTAGATGGGAGAGCTGTTGTGTGTGAGAGGAAGGCATGAGTGTGATGCTACTCACGTCTGAGGCTGGGAGGGGTCGTCCCCCAGGGAAACAGTCTCGCCTTGGATTTCGTTGAAACACTTCTCACAGAAGTGGTACCTGTCAGCAAGAAGCCCATATTTTGGTGAACTACACGTTCGCCATCAGCACAGCCAATCACAGAGAGGGCACGAAGAAGCAGCCGCCAATCAGGGCAGGGCAGGACAGGCCAGGGGGCGGACACACAGGAGGAGGCAGAGGGCAAGGTAGGTCGTCGCCAGGAGGAAGCAGCCAATCGTGATGCAGGGTTTTTGTGTGGGCGGGTGTTTTGATTTTGCGCGTAAATTTTGGAGTGGATGATTGGTCACACCAAAACAGGCCAATGCAGACATCACAAGCGTTAAAAAAGGAGGGAGAGAAGGGGAGAAGGGAAGGGAGATGGGGAGGGGAGGGGAAGTCAAAATGAATATTAAAAAAAGCGTGAAATAAATCGTTACAGGTCAGACGAGGACAATGGAGGGGACAGAGAGGGAGAGGGGGGACATGGAGGAGGGAGGGACGGACAGGATGTGAACAACAACCAACAGAGGACAGAGAGCCAAGGCAAAGCAAAGATTAGCGTCAGACGTCCAGTGGTAAACAACAACAACATTACAGCAACATGAGAGACCACTAGGAGCTGTGGAGGAGGAAGGGAGCGAGGATACGAGTCTCCAAACATGAAAGGGTGGATGAGGAAAAAATAAATAAAGCAACAGAGACCCATCATCCTTTTAGTTCATTTATAAAGTGGGAACCTTTCTTCTGGTAGTGAGAATGGACACCCTGCCCTAGCACACTATATTTATGCAAGTAAATATCAGAAAATGCAAACCATCATGTGTTGTGCATGTACATTTTCTCAGTGGGGAACAATGGTGTAAGAAATAAAGAATAAGTGCTGGAGAAGACTGGAGCCCACTTTATGAATGATAACATAATGAAAATTAAAACGGTGAACTATGAAGGATGGAGATGGTGCCAGGGTAACCAGTTGAAGCCAAATTAAAAACTCATCTGTGATTGCACTGATTGATTATATTTCCTACATCATCTATGTGCAAAATACAACAAGACACGTACAAGCTGATCTCATTGGCTGCATTTCCGCAGCAAAATGTCTGAATGTTGATAACACTTTGTGAATGCCATTTGTCTGTGTGTGCTTGTGTTCCAATGTGCCGACAGCCCTTACCTGTTCTGGTAGCTAAAATAAGCAGCGTCTCGTTGGATGGTGCATAATTGTTTTCCATAGCAGCATAGAGTTTGGGGGGAAAACTCAAACTGTGACAATAAAGAGACAAAAAGAAAAAGGTTGTTTGCAGACTTGTTGACGTAAATTAAACATCACACATACACACCTCACACCAACATACAGTACTAGGACTAACAAAGACAAACTCGCACAACAAAACAATTTTCGGTTGTTTGACTTCTCTGACTGCAATAATGTGGTCACACCTGGCCTAAACCATACCCTAATCTTATCGGTTACAGGAACAGGTTGTCCGTTAAATATAAGGCTATACAGCTAGCAGCTGATAAGCTTAGTATGAAAACTAGAAACAAAAAGAGAAAGTTCATCCATCACTTTCTAAAGATAACAAAATCCAACAACCAGCAGTTCTAAAACTTAGTAATTAACATGTTATATTTTGTTTGTTTAATCTATTTCTTGGTTTACCAGTGCAGACTCCAGAAAATAACTCCTCCCAGCCAAGAAATAGATTAAAGAAACAAGATGTGGTGAGTTTAAGAGGAGTTGGCTGGTAGATTTAGTTAACATTGGACAAAGCATGGCTAGCTCTTTCTGGGCTTTGTGCTAAGCTAGGCTTATTTACTGCGCATACATTAGAGTAGCAGTAGTCTTCTCATCTCATCAACAATTCTGACGATAAATTAACTCAAAACAAAGAAAAGACATGGGGAATATTCCTCGTCTTAGACCAGATATGTTTAGAAATACAGAAATACAGGCCCCAGCCTTACCTTCCTCCCACAACAGTATCCCAGGCCCTGCATGACAGGATCGATCTCTGACTCAAACACCTCAGCCAGCTTGGAGCAGTACTTGTAGACACGGGACGTCTTGCGGTTATACAGCCAGGCATTGTTGAACATCAGCCAGATATCCTCGACATACTGCCAAGGCTCTTGGTACTGTCCCGTGTCTAGCTTCCGCTTGATGGTCGACAGGTCCATGGGATTCTTCACGATGTCAAAGTAGTCCTGGTTTGGAAAGGCCGCCATCCAGATTTGAGTGTCAGGTGGAGGTTAAGTTCAGGAGTTAAGAAGGGTCAGAGGAGGGAGAGAAGAGAGAGCAGCGAGATGGGAGGGTTTGGTCATCACAGGGACCAAGATGAGAGAGATGGGGGAAGAAGAGTATGATCATCATCATCAGCAGCAGCAGCGTTGTGGTCGTCAGGTGAAGGTGTGATGAAGGCGTCGACCGGGTGGGACCAGAGTAGGGAGAGAAGAGGGTGCAGGGGGACAATGTTGTTGAGCACTGCAGAGAAGAAGGTTCACGTGCAAACAGAGAGACATGACAACTTCTGCCCTCCAGCTCTCTGCTTTGCACCCTACAGTTAAAGTCAAGTCCCTATCTGCACTGCGAACAGGGACCAGACGACCGCCACAAGTCTGTCCGGTCCTCTGCCGCTTATATTACCAAAAACTAGCTACAATTGAGATTACATTTTACATAACCTACTGCAACTGAAGCAAAGCCTTGTCAAAATCATTATACATCAATTTGTCTTAAAAAAAGAAAAAAAAAAAAAAAAAAAGAAGGTACATTTGCTCATTTTGCCACACAGTGCTAAACACTGTCCAACAGCTGGGGGACTGGTTCTCTGCTGAAGATTGAAAGCAAACAAAGCTTTCAGGCCTAGGAAGCAATCAGGGTGCAAAACCAAGAAGAACAGAGCAGTGGCAACAGCAACAGGCAGACAGAGATTTACCGTTTTTAGCAACATAGTGGTCGGCATTAACAACGCCAACAGCATGAGTGGCAATATGATGGCAGAGTTAATGCCAACAGTGCTGAGGTGAAGCATATGTAAGAGGGACGGGATGAGCCTCCAAGCTGTTTTTTCTTTTCCTGTTGTCTGCCCTCCGCTTCTTCTCAAACTAAAACGCCATTTGAGAAAGGAGCGGAGAAGAGGGCGAGGATAAGAAAAAGGCTTTTTGGAGATTCAACCAACCAAAAAAAAAAAAAAGAGGAGGAGGTGTGAGTTTCAAAGAGCAGGGTCCATCTCAGTGTCACCATGGCAACAAGAGTTAGGAAACAGACCCTCATATCTGAATGGAACCACTCACATGATCAAACAAGTGATGCATATTACCATGTCAACTACAGAGCCAAATTTATATCACAACACTGCTGTGTGTATGAATCCCACTGGTTTATGAGTAACTTACATTTTCACTTAATGGCTGAATGATGAAAATGGCATTATGTAATTATACAACAGTGGAAAGTTGCATCACTTGACTGTGGAGGTTCCTGAAGAGAGGTGAGCCAATCGCCTGGTGCTCGCTCATCACTGCTCTAAAAATGGCATTCATTTAACGTCATATTGCATTAGGCAGTGGGAGGACGGACACTGTCACTCTGTTTTCAATACAACAATGGTTTTTACCTGTATGTAAGTACATACTGACGCTTATAAAGTACTTGTCCCCCCCCCCCCCCNNCCCCCCCCTAATTTGGATACAATGAGAGTAAAGGTATTGTCCCACCTCTACACACTGCCCACCTGAACACTAACACACTACTACTGGTGAGGAACTGAACTAGAAAGCTAGCAATGGAATACTAGGATGAAAACTACAAAAATCATAATTGAAATTAATACCTAAAATTTGATGGCAAAAAGGCAAAAGTCAAACAAAATTAAAAGTGATAAATGAAAGCAACTGGCTCATGAACTTTTGTTAAATCTAATTATGTTCTTCCTTTGCTCATGGAAATACATAATGTTAATGTGTCTCCATATTGTATTTGGAGAACTATGAATTAATTAGGCATAATACTCTGATGGATGCTTGGGTCATGTCATATCGTATAGTTTAATCTGTAATTACTCAGCCAAATCACACAATAAAAAGATGTTGTTTTATATCTGATTTGCATATATCATTTACTTTTTGACCTTCACTATAGTTCCACCAAAGTAAAGGCAAATGTTCATAAGAGTCATTGCTTTGATTTAAAAATGACAAGAAGTTTCAAAAAAGAGCACACACACACACAAACTTCCAAATCTCATTTTCTTAACTTCTGACATGCAATGGGAGAAAAATCAACTAAAAGATTAAAGAAACTGAAAGCAAGTATATAAATTAAATTCAGAAAATATGACAACTATGACAATGGAGAAAAAATATTAAAGATGAAAAAAGGAAAACAAAATAAAAGCTACGTTTTCAGAGGAGTTGAAGCAAAATGGCAGCCAGTGCAGTCCCTTACCAGGTTAGTTTTGTTACTAGTTCGAATACGTACGGGTATTCCCAGTAACTGGGGGTCCACCGGCTGACGGAAGGGAAGGGACTCAGGGTCCTGCCGATACAAAGCTTCCAGAGTGGGCATCAGAGCCTGACGCAGCTCCTCCGGCTTAAAGACTGGAAGAGAGGGAGCAAGAAAAACATATCAGATCACAGACAAAACAAAAAGACAAGGCCGACGCTGAGCAATCAATGCAAATAGCAACTTTGCTATGCGTTTTGGGTCCCTATTTTATGCTCATAGGCGTAGTGACATCTTCAGCTCGTCCAACTTCACGCTGGTGAAACCGCATCAAGCAATTAGCTAACTGTTTATTAGTTAACAGTATGATTCAAGTGTCGTCTGATGGGGCTTTCATATAGGAAAAAAATGCTCATGTTTAATTTTGAAATAATACAGATGACACACTGATATCAATGTCCATCCCTGGTTCACACCGTTTATTCAGAAATTGCACTTGTACCTTCAACACCTGTGTCGTTACCTGTCTGCAAACAACTCTTGTTTTGTGGAATATTTTAACAAAGGTGCAACACAGCTAGTGAGCTATAATAGCTTCCTGGTCAACAACGCATATTTCACGTGTTAAAGTTAACCAAAACTATAAAAAATTATAGATAGATAAATTATGCCCCCGTTGAGTGGTGCTTGGATCCTCTGAAGAGTGTAAAGAGTCCAAACTTACTTTTCTTCTTACTCTGAGCACTGGCTGGGGAGCTGTTGGAGGCTGTTGACCCTGACCCATCCTCTTCCTCTTTGGGCTCTTTCTTCACCTCCGGCTTCTTGTCTTCACCTGCTGCTACTGACGATGACACAGAGGACGAAGATGTATCCATGGGCTCGCCTTTACACCCATCTCCTGACGGCTTCTCCTTCTTTATCTGGAAGGAAGATTAAACATAATTTCAGACATTTAAAAAAAAAACTTTTCCATGATTTTCAGTCACTCAGATAAGAGCGTCAGTAAGGACGTGGACAATCTTACCTCTGGTTTCTCCTCTGTCTTCACATCAGGCTGACCCTTGCCCATCTTCCCCTTGCCCTCTCCTTGGCTGTCAGTCCCTTCGTCATCCTCCTCCTGCTTCTTTACTTCCATTTTGATGTCTTCCTGGCTGGGAGCAGAACCGTCCACTTGGGCAAGCTGGGAGCTGGGGTCGGTACTGCTGCTGACTGAGGCTGGAGAGGACACTTGACCATCTGCTGTCAGTGGAGGCTTCGGAGATAGCTGTAGCAATAGGGCAGAAATGGAGTGATGTTTCAATATTTAAAAAGGAAAAGTGAACAAAGTTAAGTAGTTTGAAGACTTTCCACTCATTGGCAAAACCTAGTGGATCAAGACCCTCATAAGAAACAAATGCTTACTAAACCAGAACAAGCAGGAAGCCAAGACCATCTCTGAATGAGGCATAAACAGGTGGTTTAAGGAAAAGGCCTGGTTTGGGAAAAGTAATGAAAGCAGGGTGATCTACTCACGGGGGTTTGAGGCTGCTGTAGTGGCACATGAGCATTTTGGGTAGGCACTGAAGAAGCCTGACCTGCTTGGGGGCCTGAAGAAGGCACACCCCCAAGCGTTTGCTGTGGAGGCTGATTGGCCTTCTCAGAGTGCACCGCCTGCCCCGATGGCTGCTGTGAAACTTGTGGTTGTTGTTGCTGCTGCTGTTGCTGTTTGGCGTTGCTGCTGTTTGCTGTGCTTTGCTGGTTGCGTTGTTGTTGTTGTTGTTGTTGCTCTGTTGTTGCAGCTTGCTGTTGCTGGTTTTGCGTGCTGCTGCTGCTGCTAGCTGCTGCCTGTTGTTGCTGTGCTGCTGTTGCTGTTGCTGAGGGGGCAATTGGGGTGTACCAGGAGTGTGTGGCTGTGGGGTCTGAGAACCTGGTAACGTGGGGGGTGTTTGATGTGGTTGAGGCGTTAAGCTACGTGCTGGTGAGGGAGAGTTTGTTCTAATTGGTGGGCAGTGAGGGTAGGAGTTGGGCTGGTTGGAGGATGGAGGCAGGTTGGGTAGAGACCCAGGACCACTTGCACTACCAGGTCCCATGGAGCCTCCTGGGGCTCCGGAGCCTTGAGCAGAAGAGGCAGACTGTGCTGCAGGGCTGCTGGCTGGGTGGGAGGGTGGCGTTGACATCTGGTTCTGCTACAGAGGATAGGACACAGAGGTTAGAGAAAGAAGAAAAGCCAGGGGTTCCTGCTCTTTGTTTTTTTAACTAGGTTTTTATTTATTTATAGAAACTTTGAAAAAGATGGATTTCCAGAGTATAGAAGAAACAATTAAAAACAACATGGGTCTGACTAATTATAGAGACTAGTTTAGCAGATAGACAACTCTGGAACTTTTGAGTCAGGACACTTCATTTCCCATCTGTCTCTTTGAAACCCAGAAAGTGAATTAATCAAATGGAGGAAAGCCAAAAAGCACAAATAATCAGTCTTAAAACTTCTAGATAGAGCCAATAAAGAACTGTAACTCTCACAGTGGCCATGAATTATGTGCCAAAATGCTGAAGACAGTTCAGTTAATTATACAGTATTCATCACCATCTATCAATTCCCACAAAGATGCTCTAAGAGTTGATGCCTATGTTGGTCCTCATTTGCATTCATTCAGGAAGTTTCCCACATCTGACTGATTGTTTGAATTTCTTGTATCACATACTTTCTCTGCTATTGCAAAGACCCCTGACAATCAAACTCATCTCTCGATTACAAGACACTTAATTCTTACCGGTGGCACAGCATTCTGTGGTCCAGGCTGATTGATGCCAACAGGACCAGAACCACGTCCAGGACTGGACCCGGGGAACTGGCCTTGAGGGAGGTACTGGTTCTGTAACTGTGCGGCATTGGGTTGACCCATCCTTGTTGCTCCCATACCCATCTGGAAACAAGACAACAAGGGACATGTGAAGTCTTGGATAAATATAATAACTAATAAAAAAAAAAATAAAAAAAAAAAAACTGTTGCATGACCTTTCATTTGTTTATGCAAATGTGAACTTGAATACACAATGCGACAGAGAGAGCAACATCGTTTAACCTTTAGCACGCCTGAGTATAGATTTTGCTAAATTACTTGAAGTCCATGTGACCGCAAAGCAATCTGTGATAGAGACGGTGATCATGGCGCTCACCTGGTTCATAGGAGCATTAAGAGGAAGGGGAGGCGTCGATCTCTGACCCATTGACTGCATCCCCATCTGACTAAATTGATTCATTCCTAGAAGTGAAGGAGGACAGAAATGAACAAAGTCAGACAAGATTTTATTTGGCAAAATGTACTTGCATGCTGAGGCAAAAAGCATAGTCAGGGTTGTAAGCACACGGTGCTATCCGGATAATGACAGAATTACAGTTTTATCAAACACCTGTCATTACCCTCTACAAGTGTCCTTGCAAAACACATTTCTGTAAGTCTGGTTGTCAAGATGTCATATAGTTATTAGAGACGTACCTGCAGGGTTCTGCATCCTGTTGACCATCTGATTGGGTCCAGCCGGTCGGACCATAGACAGATCATTGTGAGGACCATCTGACAGGATGATAAGAGTTACAGAAATCACATATCTTGTCTTTAGGATCACTGAATACAAGTTAAACCACAGACTGATGTTCAAAGGGTGAGAAAGAGTCGGGCAACTAACTACAACATTTGATCAGTGTTTAGTATCATGTATATAGATCGACATGTGCCAGGCAACATGAACGTCATCTATCTAAAAGCTGAACTCTCAAATTCATTTTCTATTATTTACATGCCAGCAGTATGTGTGCATGCATTCAAGTGTGTTAGGGAGGTAAAAACAGTATGTTTACTTACTTGGGGGTTGTCCTGGGGCCATGGGAGGTTGTCCCATGCTGGGAGGCCCCTGTGGAAGGCCCGGGGAGGCTATGCCGGGCTGGCCTGGCATCATACCCTGCTTCTGGAGTCTTGTCCTCCTCTTTTCCTCTAGCTCCTTCTGGATCTTGTAGATCTTCTCTGCCAGCAAATGGTAATATTCCGCCTAGAAGGGATGCGACACAAATGAGGGAGGTTACAGGATAGATCGCACCAGCGCACAAAGTAAATACTTTTATTTCCTCATAACTTAACTGGAAAGTGATAACTGATATTACGATACCTCACACTCTACATGTGTTAGTTTCTTACCCTACTGTTGGCTGACTCGTACATGTCTCCCTCTACTTTTCGAGCGTAAGCCACCAGATTCTCCATCCGCCGATCCTTCAGCGCAGCCGGATCAGGAGTGGGGAAGATGGCCTGCACGCTGCTCTCACACATGCACAAACAGAAAGGACACACAGCTACAATTAAATTGAGGACAGAGGCACCCAATTTACATCAAGCACTGAAAATGATCTGACAATAAAATTTGTTTTATTTCATTAGCCCTCGCCCAAAGTGAGATTTTTTGGGGACAGCAGACTCACAGCTTGTGGACAAGGTGGTTGCGGAGGTCTTGTGTGATGTCTTCATGCCAAGACTTCCTCATGCCTGGAGCAGAAGGAGGAGTTGCTGTAGGCATGGAGCCCAGGTTCCCCACACCATCACTCATTAAGCTGGAAGAAGTGTAAAAGAGTAATAAGACTTCGGTCAATACAAAACTAATTTTGACTTGGTTTAAGTCTCTTATATGTAAGCAGTCTGACTTCAAAAGTAAAAAGTAAATAGCTGTGAATGAACAGAGTCGTACCTCTGTGCATTCATGTTGCCATGCAACATGGCGTTTGGCAGTAGCGTGGACTGCTGGTTAGGGGGTTGCACACCCACTCCACCATTCACTCCCATAGAGTTTCCTCCTGGAAAGAGATAGACAGGAAGGGTGAGAGAGAAGAAAGGGATGACACACAGCAAAAGCCATTCGCTGATGAAAAACATGAGATGCGCTTGAAAGCTCTGGTATGTGAACCTTGGATTTGAGATTATTTTGTTGTACATGTTGTTCACAATCCAATTCATATCATATCCATACTCAGTGATAGTCATAGCAGGTTAGCATGTGTAATATGCACAATGGAAATACAAACTAACCCATGGTGTTTAAAGGCCTCATCCCAGGCTGGCCCGGCAGCCCCTGGTTTGGCATGTTGGCCTGTGGCGACTGCTGTGGCATCTGGTTGCCCTGGTAAGTGAGACCTAGTGCAGCATAGGCCCTCTCTATGGAGCTGGGGTCAATCTGGTTGGTAGGGTTCAGGTTCGGAGTGTTGGACTGTCCACCAGGCACGCCTGAACCTAAAGAATTCCCCAAACCTACCCCTGCACTGTTAACAAGAGCTGTCAAGAGAATGAGAGGGGAAGAGATAACAAAGGGTGAGCATCTGTGAATTCAAGCCTACTGTCACACACTTCACTGCTTAGTTACAGGATTTTCAAGCATTTTAAAGTAGATGATGTGTAATAATTCAATAATAATTCATGAAGAGCCATTAGCATGTATTCTTCTCAGCGACAGACAGACACACTCACACTGCTGATTCCTCTTGTCTCCGGCGTTTTTCAGCGGCAGGCATACAGGACAGTCATGTCGTGTGCAATTCTTCCAATGAGAGATGATCTGTCTGGATGAGGCACAGTGCGCCACTGGGGGAGAAGAGACAGAAATGGAGAGATGTTTAAGAAAGGGGAAGAGAAGGTAGAAAGAGAGAAGAGGGACAGAGAGGGAGAACAAGTGAAATGAGAAATGGTGACAGAGTGAAGGAGGGAGATGAATAATGAGACAAGGATGAGAGAAAAAAGGAAGATAGAAGCCAGCGACAAAGAAAATTATTGTCCAGATGAGAGAAGGACAGAGTGAAAAGTACAGTAGAACAGCCAGCTAGAGAGAGTAACTCATTCTGATATGAACAACTGGGTGGCAAACCAAGAGGATTATAAACCACCAACAAGAACAAGCAAAAAAAAAGAAAGAAAGAAGAAAAATGATACAGATACATGACAACTTTAAACACTGGCTAGTGTTTATGATATAAACCACATACTATAAAACCAGCAATCAGCATAATTCAACAGACTCACCCTGGCAGGACTTGCCAGCCTGGCAATGAGTCATGTGGTTGAGCACGTTCTTCATGGTGCGGCAGTGGGGCAGGTTGCACTGCCGCACTTCCCCGTTGGCCTGCTCCCTCCGCTGGCACTTGTGCGCGTGTAGCAAGAGGACCAGCTGCTGCTGGATCAGCTTCCGTTTCTCAGGGTCTGCGGTAGGGGGCGCTGTGCCGGGACCCGCCCCCACGGCATTGAGCCCAACCTGGGCACCTCCCACTGCTGCCGCTCCTCCGACGGACACGCCACCCACTGCTCCAGGCTGCTGCTGAGAGGCCTTGGGACAGAGCGGAGTCACGGATGAGTCTTAGAATTAACACGAAGAACAATTATATGCAAGACTGCCATGATCAGGGCTTGTGGGACCTCTTCCAATGACCAATTTGGTGCTTGTGCTTGAGCCAGATCTGAAGCCTGAACTTGCATGTACTAAGAACGACTAAAGTAAATGCAAATTTTAACATTATCGTCTTGTCTAAGACATACAGTTCATACAATTTAAGACATACTAAGATTATTGGATTTTTCAACTAAAAAAAAAGGACCCAAAGAAACCCAGTAAAAGTAGCTAAAAGACTCAAACACTAAGATGCTCTGTGAATAAAGGAGCAAAATAGCAATAAGCATTATAAATAATGAGAGCTTGTAATGCAACAGTGCAATTGACACAGTGCTCTGCTGACTACAGATAAAAACTTTACAACTTTCAAATTACAACTTGACATGCATGTATTTTAAAAGAATCCAATAACTACAACTACTCATCTTTTTTTTTTATATGAAAAACACATAAAACTCTTGATATATAACCCCCTGGTTGAGTTTTGAAGAATTGTGACCAAGATGCACACTACAACATTTGTAATGGAGACACAGATTCTAATTTCACCTAAAACCTTGTTTGGCATTTCCTGTTACTTATCAGCCAACATATACACTGATACCATTATATCTGCAATAAGCTAACATTAGCCAGGCCCAATTATCAGTCTAACTCTGATTCCAATAATTGGGATTTGATATATAATGCATATTGAATGTGGCACAGTGACAGGCACACACAAGAGAAACAAAAACTGATAAGATAATTGAGAGTTCAACTAAACAAAAACATTTTTTCAGAGACACTTCGTACATTCACATACAGTTTATAAACAGGGAAGTCAACTTACAGTGACTCACTGACTGGGCAGTTCTGGGGCATTTGATGGATCTTACTTTGAAAGGATTAACTTCATTGAGGTAGGAAGGCTTATTGTAATGGCAACCTCTTCACCCAAATCCCATGTAAGACAACCATGTCAATGATTTTCCTCTTATTCACCAGAGGACTCAACCCGAGCGGCTTCCCAGATGATTTGGCTACCAGTCACTAATTTCTTCCAGTCAATTCCAGATTTGTCTGTAAATGTGAGCCTTTTCCTAGTGAAACTGGTATGCAGCCATGTACAGCTGCACCACCCATACACTCCTTATTGGGGACAAAAAATATGAGCCTGCCACAATTCTTAAGCGGGAGTTACACAACGACCCTCACAAAATTTAAACAGGGTTTAAAAAGCTTAAAGTCCTGTTGCCAGGATTTAGCAGACGAAAACTTGACAAATTTATCGGTGTCAGTGGGGGTTTTACTACAGTTGTCAGCGCTGTTATCACAGAGCCGTACTGTGACAGAAACAAAGAAAAGTTTGACATGAAGTTAAATGCCAAAACACTCTTGCTCAAGCCAAGTGGTCCAGATGTGTTTTTGTATTTTGAGCTTTTAGTTGTGGAGGAACCGGTTTCTCTGGCACTTCCATTCATACACATGAACACTCATTTGTTTATCAGACACTAATAGTCTTGTTAAGTCACATAGGGGAAAAAAAATAGGATTTTATAACAAGCCATTGGCTAGAAACTGATCCAGGTCTGCCAATGGGTCTTGCCTTTGATCCTCAGCAGGCTCATCTATCAAACCATCTGAAACAACCAAGTTTTTTAAGTTTTACATCTTGAGTTCTACAGTAAAGATGATGCAGCAACATTCACACGGCTGTGTTGGCACTTTGCTTTGCACTGACGGATTATCAGCCTTCATATGACCCGTGAGTCTGTGGCTCTTGAGGTGGGTTATGCTCAAAACTAACTAGTTTGTACCTCATGTAGTCAGATCACGTCTGAAGGAGTGTGTTTACGGTTGCAAATGGCCACACTCCAAAGGGGCTTTGAAAAGCCTGCAGTCATACAGAGGGTGTGTTGTACTTGTTTGTACACATAAGAAGTATTGAAAGTAGCTGTGTGAAGAATAAAAAAAAAAAGAGAAGAAGAAAAGAAATCTGGTTTTTCCCCTTCTCACACCCAGCCAACCATTGCATGAAGTGAGTGGGATTGTCAACACATAGGTTACAAAAAAGGTCATATTTATATTTATTTATTTTTCCATGATGGCTACAGCGTTTGTTCGTCTGTATGGAAAATAACCAAACAAATCTTACCATCCCAGGCATGCCTTGGCCTTGTGGTGGCTTCTTGTCCATGTTGAACTGGGTGGCCATATTGTTGGGCAGGCCCGCCTTGTTCTGGAGCTGTGGGCCCAGCCCTGCTCCAGGCAGCCCCTGGCCAGCAGACTGGCCGTACGGACCACCATAGGGGCCCGCATTGGCCATCATATTCATCTGAAGAGCAGAGTGAGGGAGAAATAAACAGTTATGAAGATTTTTCATAACCTATGAAATTGATTGATTTCAGCAGCTAGTCATCTGATAGTCAACTACACTGGACTGTTCCTCTGACGGTGTCGCTGAACGGTGCTAGTCAGACAACATGGAATCACTTTCCTCTTTCTCCAAACTTTACTTTGCTCTCCACAATAAATTAATACGACAGACACAATCTAGGCTCCGCAAACAAGGTCACCACCAACTATGGTCTCGGATCCAGCCAACAGTGTTTACAGCTACTTCAGCATCTTGCCAAACTAGTATTTATTTTAACAGCAGTACAGTAACAATGTGAAGTGATTTGTTAATTGTTGCTCTTTCACCATTAAAGTCTAATTAACCTGTTCATCCCTACGACTCAACTCTAAGTGAATATGAAGCTTAAACTGCAGAATTTCCTTTGTGCACACCCAGGGCAATCTGCAATGAACATGGAGAATACATAAACTTTACTGATGCATACCTTTACTACAGTATATAACAAAAAAGAAAAACCTGTTTGAGCTACTAGTTATGTCGCTTGCAATACTGTCTTCACACCTTTAGAACCAAATCACATCCGTTGAGTGACATGTTGACTAGCAAGGAGGTTAACCATCGATACCACAGAGTCCAACACGTAACCACACTCACACCTGAACCTCCTCTGGAAATTATTCTTCAGCAGTCTCTCATGAGCAGCTACTACAATCTACAGCGTCACTCGGGTCGGAAAAGATGTGTCTGCTTTTCATGCTGTAAACCTGAAAATACTGTTTCACTGACTCAAACCAAATTTAAACAGCTTTTAGGGTTAATTTTTTCTTCTTGATTACTTTACTGAACACATTACAGGTCAAATTTATAAATTCCACCCAGACCTTTTTTATTTTATATGGGGCAGTGGGCTGCAAAAGGCACCCACAATAATAATCTTAGATTCTTTAGTTTAGCAAGCTATAATAATTTAAATTCAAATTTGTGTGTAAGCATTTCTTTAATATAAGACATGGCACTTGCAATATACAGTATAATTTGTTTTTCAAAAAGTTTTAACGTCGTCACGTTCCAACGTAGAAGAATACGTCAGTGCTTTTCATATTTCAAGAGAACTACATGCAGGTGTGGGATTCAGCCGAGGAACAATACCACACTTTGTTGAGACCGGCATTTAGAAAATCTTAACCTCAGTTAAAATTGGCAACTAAACCCACTTGATAAGTTACTATAAAATAATTGCTACTGAGACGCCCTTTTCTGGCCGACAACCGGGGTGTCTTGTAATACCTGACCCTGCTGGGTTGAGGGTGCTTACCTTGTTCAGTGCTCCGGGTTGCTGTGGTCTCATCCCTGCCTGACCCCCAGGTCCCATTTGCTGACCGCCCTGCTGCTGCTGTAGGGTTTCTGCCAACAAATTACTATTGTTACCCATGCCTGCACTGCCTGGGTAACCCATTCTTGGCGAGCCATTCATCACCTGCCCCCCCATCAGGCCTTGCTGCTGCTGTCCAGGGTTGCCCTTCTGGGCGCCCATCATGGCAGCTGCCCGACTGAGTGCCGCCACCCCCCCAACCATCCCAACCTGCTGCATTAATCCAGGTTGCTGCTGCTGGCCCTGGGGGGGCATGCCTTGAGGTCCACCAGGGGAGACACTGACGCCCCCCATCATCCCCATGGAAGCTCCGGGTGCTGTGCTGTTGGAAGTAGGGCCACCTTGCTGTGCTGGCGCTCCAGCGCGCAGGAGCTCGGACAGCTGTTTGTGTTTTGCAGCGGCATCGTGGCCTCCCAAAATAATCCCTCCTCCAAGCCCCGCAAGACTGGTATGGAGCTGGTTGACGTCCCCTCCATTGGTCAGCCCCAGGTCCGAGGAATTGATGAGCTCATCTGGGAGGTCATGCTCCAGATCAAAGAGTGAACCAAAATCTAGACAAGAAGAAAGAAACAAACTCAAACCAACCACAAATACAAAGATTTGGTTCACAAAATTGACAACTTTTCAGATTTGCACTGAATACGGACTACATTTTTCAAATACAAACTGAATGAACTTATATTTTGTGTAAGTGTGGTAAAGCTCTGACATAAGTTTGAAAACTATCAACCATTAATATAGATCCCAAAGCTAGACAACCAGTGCAGCAGTAGCTGCCTCTCACAGCCAGGACTTCTCTCCTGAGCATGAGTTTGTGGTTTGATGGGGTGCCAAACACGGAGAGTGAATGCAGTAGGGTCACGGTGAGAAGCCACAGAGAGGTAAACAGTACCTGGGTAGGTGTGTGCATTGGATCTACAGCTGTGTGGTGCAAGCACATGAAAACTATCAGAAGTTATATCCACTGCAACGGGAGGCAATTGTAAGTTGTTTGTGAATTATATATATTTTGGTATACTCTCAATCATTTTCCTCAAGTAAAACTTTAATTTAACACAGAACAGAAGAAAAAAAAACAGTAAAATCTCTACAACTAAGTTGTTCTCTATATATGGCCTCATGAAAAACTGAATAACCTGCTTTAACTTTTTAGGGTGTCTTCTGGCATGTTAACATCTCCCAAAATCCTCTTGAAAGTCGACGCTGCGTGTAGATATGCTGCGCTAGTGTTTGATTTAATGCACGAGTCAAGCTGCATCCCTTCCTGACTTTTTTTCTTCAGTCCCTGTTCTCACTGCATTAGGAGCTCAGATACTGCAGGAAATTAAACAAGCTTGAAATTCACATGAATTTATTTTCTGATAGTTGGAGAGCTGGTGGCGCGGCTACCAAACTTTGCATGGTTGACATTAAAACAGTACAGAATTCTTTAAAGTTTTTGTTCTATAAATAACAACTGTTATGCTATAGATATTGATTGTTTAATTCACAGAGGAGAAACAGCATAAACTGAATATCCAAATCACTGTGCTTCTCTCTCTCTGGTCTCCTTACAACACGATGCAACAAGAGGAGGTGATGCAAAGAGTTTACAGCCTATTGCTCAATATGCGTGAATGAATTCGTTTGCAATAATAGTTTAATTCACAACCAAGACGAAATGCATTCAAACGGTTTGCTTAGGGTGAGAGTTTAACCATTTTGTAAAAGTAAAAAAAAAAAAAAGGGAGAAAAGTGCAGCGCAGTGTAACCGTGCAGTCAAACAATGGAGGCTGAGCAAGAATGGGCTTCGTCGCTAGTACAATTGAGAAACTAAGAAACCCCCCAGAACAAAAGACATGAAAGAAGACATTTCAGAGACGGCGGCCGGTTTTTGCCCCTTTTCACTTCAACGCGGCAACAGTTAAAATGGACACACAGCCACATCCTCGTCCGCACGGCAGCGCTCTCACAACTTTAATGAAGTGTCGAACAATAGCTAACGTTAGCTCAGTAATAGTTCACTTTAAAAAAAAAAGAAGAAGAAAAAAAAAAAGAGCATCGGCTAACGTAAAAGTTAAATACCCTCAAATTCATGAACCCCCCCCCCGCCAAAATATTTTAGCTACAACAACGAAAAGGGTTAGGACACACTGAAAAAAAGTTACTCTGGTGGCCGAATAAGGTTTGTGTAGTTAATAATGACTTCTTTTCTCTGTTAGCAGCTACCGAGCTCAGCTGAGCCGGTGGAGTTTTCTACCTAACGTTAGCTCGTCCGCTAGCCCGTTGGTTACCGTTACTTTCTCCTAACGTTCGTTTGTAAACGGCCGTTTGTCTCCATGTCTACGGTTTATAAAACACGTAGGTGTGTGTGTGTGTGTGTGTGGAGGCGGTTGTTTAGTGCACGTATCCTCTCCTCCTTTACACACCGAGTCACTTTTAAAAGTAACTACACAACTTGAAGCAAACTGGGGTGACTCGACTCTTCCATTGTTTGGAGGTGGACCTTTTAGTTAGTTAGCTTGTTGAGGCTAACGCATCAAAACATCCCTGCTGGAAAGTTGCTGCCGCCGCCAGCACCGCGTCGTGTTTTGTCTTTAGCACGCCAAACTTTCACACTAGCTCCCTTTAAATCAAGATACGAACAATATACGTGTATATATTAATGTTTTAAAAGCATTGGTTATGGAGCCACTCAGTGCTGTGCAACTCTACAGGGACTTCCGAGGCTGACCAGCGATTAATACACAGACAGTCTTCACGCTTACGTTTATGTTTTATCTCCGGTTAAGTTAATGCATGCAATATATTTACCATTTCCATCACTGGCGGACACCGAGAGAGCTGGAGAGGACAGCTTGGGCCTCTTGGCTGCAGGCTGACCGGACTCCAGGACATTATCGGCCATATTTTTTGACGAATTTAAAAAAAAAAAAAAAAAAAAGCTGTAGATCCACGGAGGGCAGACGTATTTCCCTTATTTGCGTCTCCTTATCCCTTTAAGAAAAGCTTCTGATCGTTCCCCCACCGCTTGGGGGGACGGTAGGGGAGAAGACAGCAATGTTGAACTCTTTTTTTTTTTTTTATCTCTCTCCCCCCTCACAGTTCTCCCTCTCGGTTTATTCCTCTCTGCAGATATCAGTCCCCCTCCCCTGTCGGAGATTGTGTTTCTTCACAGATTTGAACAGGAGGAGGTGGGAAGGTGGAGTCGGCAAAAAAGGCAAGCGTGCGGCCCTCTGACAACCTCATGTAGCCTCTTCTGCGACACAAAAACTGTCCCAAGATCCGTCCTCCGTGCTGCACTCAGTCCTGTCCGCCATAGTCGGCGGAGAAATCCTGTATTTCAGGTCTGAAGCGCTCCAGTGGAGAGTGTCGGTCAGGGCACCAAAAATGATAAATTGTGCTCCAAAAAAACAACCAACCAACACAAGCCAGGAGTGTTTCCTGTGTTAAACTTCTGGGGGCTGATCTCTCATGCAACAGTTATGAGATCCTCGGTTGCGTTTACCATTTCTCTCACCTGAGCAGACATCTCACTGCTGGGCAATGCCGATACCGAGCCCTCCTTTACGGCCAACCGGGTGTGTGTGTGACCACCGGTAGTAGTTGTAAAAAAAAAAACACACAATGAAAAAAGCAGTTCAGTCGGTGCTCTCAAGTGCAACACTGAGATAAAACAACTTGCATTTGGTGGTTTTTTTTTTAACCAGAAACTGAATAAATAGAGCAGTGGTGCAGAAGAGTCCCACACTTGCAGCTACTCGGATTCAGTGAAGATCGATCACGGATGTGTTTGTCCACGCATCAGTTTCCTTCTGCATGTCCTGAACTAAATTGTGCACTTTAAAAAGGTGTTTGACCATGCAAGGCACTGGGTCAGAAAGAGCAGACTCCTATTGCACATTTGGTTGTTGCAACCCCCCCCTTTTTTTTTTTTTTTGTTAATGCCTAGTGCAGTCAGCAGGGGGGTTTGGCAAAAAATAGAAAATCTTGTCCCCCCCCTCAAAAAAATAAAATAAAATCCCTCCTTGTGCAATCGATCCCGATGCAGACTTTTATTTCTTTGACAGTAGTTCTTGGGGGGCAATCACAGCGCGGATTGCCAATCAGCGAGGGCAGTCAGATTGATCCAATTAGTTTTTATTTAGCAGAGGACGAGGCTGTGAGGGGTTTTTACTTATCTTGTGCTCCAGATGAGGTTCCTCCTCCGGGGTTTTCGCGTGGTTGTAAAACACTTGCAGATAATGAAAGTAATGGTTAATATTGTGTAAAAAAAAAAAAAGAAAAAAAAAATCTCTCTATATATATATATTTATATA